ACAGGTGGAGGCAGCAGCCCCCAAGACGGCGTCTGCGGCAGGCACCTGGCTGGGTGCAGCCCGGTAGCCTGACAAGTTGCCCGTGTCTAGAGCACATGGCAGAGTCTGCTGGAAAGGCTGGGTCTGGGGGCTCAGGGGACACTTCCTGGGGCCAGGGGAGGGGGGTCTGTGGGCCCTGGCCAGAGTGTGCTCGGGCTTCCTGCCTCCCCACCCTGAGACCCCTGCGCCCCTGCTGTGGGATCCCCCAGCCCATGCTCGGCCAGGCTGCCCTCAGGGTCTCTGTCTCCCCTCTGCAGGGGCTGGAGTCTTCTTCCTGTCCTCAGCCGAGGGGGAGCAGATCAGCTTCCTGTTCGACTGCATTGTCCGAGGCATCTCCCCGACCAAGGGCCCCTTTGGGCTGCGGCCGGCCCCCCCAGGTGCGTGCAGGCGAGGCCGGGCCGGGCGAGGCGGGGAGGGCGTGCGGCCACCCTGGCTTGACAGCCCCGTTGGGCGGCTCCCCTTCCCATCTGCGGCGAAGAAGCCCGGAGCCAGGCCGGGCCCGTCGCCAGCATCTCCCCTGTGCCCACACCCACAGACTCCTGGGGCTGGAAACCGCTGGTTGGGGCTTCTCAGCTGCAGCGGCACCCAGGATCTCGGAGACCTAAGCACCCCCCGCCTTCCAGCGTGGGAGCGGGGAGAGCCTTGCCTGAGGTTGACAGCAGGAACAGCTAGTGGTCTGACGGCAGCCGGGGTCAGGGCCAACTCCATCAGAGCCCTGTGTCCAGGCCGACGGCCGCCTCGTGAGGTTGCTGGTGTGGGGGTCTCAGTGTGCAGGGACGGGTGCCGGGGCCACACTGAGCCGGCCTCGCCTTGTCCTGCCCCTGCTCCCTGCTTATGGCCGGGCATCATTCGTTAGGAGTCCTTGGCCAGAGATGTTGCTGGACCCCAGGGGGACCGCGGTGCCCGGGCACCGTGGGACCCAGAGCAGGGCAGGGCTGTCCTGGATGGTGCTGGGCTAGGAGTCTTGGATGCGTTTTATCCGATGCACCTCTTACGCACGTGGACAGCACGTGTCCTGTTGTGCAGGAGAAGGCCAAGGTCTGGGCTGCAGGTGGGTGGTCAGTGAGCTCATAGCTGGTGCTTCCTTACATTGGCGCTCCAGCAGGGCATGGCAGGCAGGTTGCCCTGGGAGGATAGAGGCCAGCGACATTAGAGTCCCACAGTGGGCACCCTGGGTCCCATTCCGCCAGCTGCAGCCCTTGACGCCCACTGTCCACGGCCAGTGCAGATGCGGGAGACGGCCGCTGGGAGGAAGAGGCAGTGCCTGTGGCCGGAGCCTCCCCGCCGCCTGGCTCTGCTGGATGGTGCGGCAGTGCCCCCTGCTGGTGTTTTCCAGCCTTGCAGCCACAGGCGTGTGTGGATGGTGTGGACACGTATGTGCATGGTGCAGGTGTGCAAGGTGGGCAGGGACAGTGTTTCTTCCCCAGACATGGCTCCGAAGGCCCCTGGGATATGGTCTACCCCGGGGCATGGTGGCGCCCAGCAGCCACTAGGAGCCCAGAGCTGGACTAGTGGAGAGACTCAGGTCAGGGGGACGGTCCTGGGCCAGGAGGGCTGGGCTAGGGACGTGGCACTGGGCAGAAGATGCCAGGGAGGCTTGGCCCGGGGCAGTTGTCCCGAGGCACAAGGGGTGCCACTGCAGGCAGCCATCTGGTTGTCCCTCAGCAGGGCCCGTGCTGATGGCTGGGAGGGTTGGACTGACCAGAAGTCCCAGACTCCCTCCATCTAGCTGGAATCAGCCAGTAGCTCTTTCCAATGGCTGCAGGTGTCTCCCGGTGTTCCCCCCAAGGTCCAGCCGAGCTGGGGCACTGAATGGGCAGCACCAGCCAAAGAGTTGTGGGTCCCCGCCCCTGCAGAGTGGAC